GCACAACACTTCTATGGAAATACAATGTAGAAATAAAAATATAAAACAATCAGTCATTTACATGGATTAAGTTGTAGCATGCCATGCTAACGTGAATAATTATAGCCCAATTCTAACAGAAATAAACAGGAACTGGGTAAGTGCTAACATGCTAAAGCTAGTGTTTGTTCCCCAGTTAACAAGCAGATAAACGATAAGGAGCGAGTGGCCGCCGCCATGGAGAACCCCAACCTGAGAGAGATCGTGGAACAATGTGTGACGGAACCCGATGACTGAGGAAGGAACCTCCACCCCCTTTAAGAAAAGGAGCTTTAGCTAAAAGATCTTTGTATGTTTGTATACGTGGGATTTAATATCTGAGGATCCTAATCATGGTATTCCATAGCATCTTCTATGAAGCAGATGTTCCTGTGTGTCCAGGGACTGTTTAGAGGTTTTAAGTGTCTTCAGAAAGTGTAAATACATGGCTTTAATAAAATGATTCTAAGTGGGATTTTTTCCATTCCAGGCTCTGTTGTCTTCTGCTTATTTCTACAGACCAGTTCAGAATTTCTAACAGAGGAGGGAACAAACTTCTTCAGAATAACAGTTCTGTTTTTTCTTTCCGTCATTCAAACACTAGACCTGCCACCACTTTGTTTTTCATACAGCAGAGATGGAAAATCCAGGGAATGCTTCCATCTTTTCTATTAATTTGAGAACCCTTTGGTGAACGGCAGTCTATAGTGAGGCATATTTTGCTTAGATTTTGTTCAAAGATATCAAAGGGGTCCAGGAAATAGGCTGTAACCCACCAATACTCGTCTTTGTTTTTGGCTCCCAACAGGTTAAGCTATAATAATAGTTTGTCTTAAGCCTAATTAAAAAAAAAAAGATAACCATTGGTAATATAATCTGAATATTACAATACTGATTTAAGTCATTTTACATCTTTCTGAAAAGAAATTTGTAATGGATTAAATAGTAAAATAGTAAATAGTTGAATGATTTAAATCAACCAAATATTGAGTATAATTATAATTTAATGAGGACAATTCTCACAGTGCTCTAATCACAAGAACATTCTAAACATAGCAACCAAACACTGTATCTGTAGATTAACACCGTATCTACACAATTATTCAGTAGGTACACCATCACACCTGAGAGGATGTGAGGAGCTTACCTAAGTTTAGGAGGTAAAACAGCATAATTCCAGGTTTTATTAGGCAAAGCAAAGCCACATTTACTGAGTAACATGGCACAAATATAAGGATATACATGAGTTTTGAAGGCACCTGTTTATCGCCCAGCTTTGAAAATATGCAACATAATTTTGAACAGCAGGACATTTAGGTTTTAATTACATGTTCAACAGAGTGGACAAAGTTTTCCTCTGAAAGATCTGTGGTCAGCCAAAAACTGGTGGAAACTGGTGGAAACTACTGGAAACTAGTCACATGCTTTAGCCAAACAGGAAGCCAAGATTGATTTATTTTCTAAATAGTTTTGTCCTCCCACGAAGATACATTTCTAACATAAAGTGGTCTAAACTGTCGTGCTTCTACACACCGGCTGGTGGCAGTAATGCGCCTTCAAGTTGGTTTAACAACTATAAAAAAACACTTACAAGATAAGAGGAGACGACGCCGAGAAAAGAGACGAAGAAGAAGAAGAAGAAGGGGGAGAAGAAGAAGAAGAAGCAGGAAAACACATCGCGTCTCAGAGAAAGTGAAGAAAGCTCACGACGTTTTTTTCCCATTTACGCCGAATAGCGACTTCCGGTTAATTACTTAAACGAAAGGTAAAAGTTCCTGTTTTGGCTCTTAAAATCACGAATAGTTTTTTTTGTTTTTTCTAACAAGAAACAAAATGTTATGAACTGCTTCAGAGAGCAACAGGGTCTAAATTTAAACTGAACCTTGATCGGACGGTGTGTGTTAACCTGCTCCATAACTTTAGCCCAACGGTTAGCCGGTTAGCTAGCTCCGGCAGTTGGTCAACGGTTAGCCGGCTAGCTAGCTCCGGCAGTTGGTCAACAGTTGGTCCAGAGGCGGGAAGCGAACGGGGGTTTCGGGACGTTTTTTCCGTTGGGGCGGAACGACTCTTTTCATGTGACCTCCGCGGGTTTGTGTCCGCATTTTAATGGGACCC